TCCGTCTGGGGGTATTATATATAGTTCATGGCCTTTCCAATACGGGAACAATGCTCTAGCAAACAGGTCCTGCAAGATAGACGATTTAAGAGGGAGCCGTGACCAGACCGTAGACCGATAAGGATGTACACCAGGTTTCCATCACAGGCTCAGATTTCCACCCCCCTCCCCCCTTATTTTCCCATTTATTTAAGCAAGCATATTTACAGAAGCTAGAAATAGGAAATAGCATAGTTACTTATCTGGTTTCGTTATATCCTGGAATTAACAGGTCAATGGACCATCTGCACTTCATAGGGAAACCCTGAAAGGCAGTTCTTACAAAATTTATGGGAATAAAATGGAATGCCTATGGTTCAGATAGAGGGCAAGGGAACCGAACGGAGTCAGTTCCTTCAAGGTCCATTTTTCAGTCCTAGGGGCCTTGGAGAGCCCCCGAAGGGCTTTAAAGGAAATTACATGTGAATTTTAGAACAATCCTGGTGATAACCAGAACGGTGAGCTGAGGCTTTTTCTGGGGTCGTGTCTCCCTACACAGAAGAATGAGCTCCAAGGACCAGATGATTTAAGCAAAAGTGTGGAAAATTTATTACAAGCAGATTCAGACTCCCTGCACGGAGGGGCTGTGGTGGCGGGGGGGTGATAATAATGAGCTGCCCCCAAAGCCTTGTAGTCCAAGGGTATATATTTGTTACAGGCCTGCTCTAGCACTACCCATGTCCTCACCTGATTGATTCCCTCATTGTTCTTGTCCAGCAACGGACCTGAACTTTCCCTGTTTCTACCCATTAGTACACCTTGTTGCTGCAGGCCCTCCCTTGGTTTCCCACGCTCCCGCTCTGTGTCCAAAAACGTTCGATATTATTTCAGCATGGTTGGTTTCTGTGGTTAGGCTGCTCAAACTGCCGTGCCTGCCCCTGCCTATGTTCCACCTGCCTTTGTTTTCCATTGGACCCCTGCCCTGTCTGCCTGTGTTTCAAGCTAATTTCTCTCACTGGGACCTAATAGGAAGGTATTGAGGCTGGGAAGCCAGTGAAGAAACTGCAGTGTCCCTGGTAAAAGTGTGGAAGATCCTGTAGAAAATTAAAAGTTGAATTACCATGTGACCCATCAGTTCTGGGGAGATACCCACAAGAGTTGAAAGCAGGATATCGAAGAAATATTTCCATGCCTGTGGTGGAAGCAACCTGTGTCATTGATGGATAAATGGATAAACAAAAAGTAATACACACATACAATAGAATGTTATTCAGCTTTAAAAAGGAAGGAAAGTCTGATATATGTTACAACATGGATGAACCTAGAAAACACTATGCTAAGTGAAATAAGCCAGTCACAAAAGGACAAATGCTGTATGATTCCACTTATATTAGTTAGAGTCAAAATCATAGAGACAGAAAGTAAAATGGTGGTAGCCAAGGGCTGGAGAAAGGACAAGGGGGAGTTGTTTAATGGGTACATAATTTTCGTTTTGCAAGGTGAAAAAGTTCTGGAGATTGATTGCACAACAGAGTGAATGTACTTAACACACTGAACTGTACACTGAAACAATTATTGAAGATAGTAAATTTTATATTATTTATATACTAGAGGCCTGGTGCATGAAATTCGTGCACTGGAGGAAGCGGGGGGTGTCCCTCTGCCCGGCCTGCGCCTCTCATAGTCCAGGACTCCTCGGTGGACATCCCTCTTGCAGTCCAGGACCCCTTGCTCCTTACCGCCCACCTGCTTGCTGCTCCTTACTGCTTGGCTTGCTGCTCCTTAGCACTGCCGCGTAGGTGGGAGAGGCTCCCGCCACCACCACTGCATTTGCCAGCCATGAGCCCGGCATCTGGCTGAATGGTGCTCCCCCTGTGGGAGTGCACTGACCACCAGGGGGCAGCTCCTGCATTGAGCACCTGTCCCCTGGTGGTCAGTGCGCATCATAGCCACTGGTCTTTCTGGTCGTTCCACTGTAATGGTTGCTTAGGCTTTTATTATATAGACTAGAGGCCCAGTGCACAAAAATTTGTGCACTCGGCGGGGAGGGGGGGGTCCCTTAGCCTGGCCTGTGCCCTCTCACAGTCTGGGACCCCTCGGGAGATAACAACCTGCTGGCTTAGGCCTGCTCCCGGGTGGCAGAGGGCAGGCCCAATCCCTAGGTACAGCCCCTGGTCGGGCTCAGAGCAGGGCCAATTGGAAAGTTGGGGCGCCGCCCTCTGTCATGCACAGAGCAGGGCGGATCGGGAGGTTGCGATGCCACCCTCAGTCACGCTCAGGGTAGGGCTGATTGGGGGGTTGGGGCACCGCCCCCTGTCACACTCAAGGCAGGGTC